CTATGACTCCTCTGAGGTCTATATTTAGTGGTCAATATTTGCTAGATGTTTCTGTGACCTGCACAGGGGGGTACTCGGCTAGTGAAGGCTATAAAATTCTCAACTCTCCACAAACATATCCATTTTGGTCCACTAAACTCTCAAGCCTCACCCTACAAAACTACTGGCAGCGGGTGGTTGGGTTTTTGTCCTTTTCCCTTCCAGCTCTAAATTAAGCCAGATCCAATCTTCAGTGATTCCCTTCAACAGATGGGAGGATGCTGACGGAGCAGGACAGCACACACACCATTCCTGTCCGCAGTGCAAACAGAAAGAGGATTGCTTGGCAGTTCAGAGAAGCCTGCACTTTACACCCACTCACCAGGCAACCTGCCAGCTTCGCTCGGGGATGGAATTAAAGCAGGATTTAACCAGGCAGCCTGACCTCAGGACTGCGATCTCCCAGACACAGAGTACCTCCTTAGTCACTCCCAGTGTCGCAGGGGAGCCCTGTCTCCCCGAGATGGGGCACCCGAACAGCAGCGCCTGAGGAGCAGGAGATCCTGCGTGAGGTGGCACGAGAGGTGGTGAGGCATGAGGTGACACTGCTGCAACACTGATTCATCCCACACCACGCTCCCCAGCACGGCGCTGCAGCTGATGAGGCTGGAGGGCACTGGGAAGGACACACCTAAGGACACTGCACTCCAGAGGTCCCAGGGGACAGCAGCAGGCACGTACACAAGATGCAGACTAACAGCTAAAGGCTCCGTGTCAGAAAAGGGTGATGGTGCAGACAGCACAGCAGAACATCACAGCCCAGCAGCCACGGTCCTATTGATCACAAGGACTTGCTATACAGTAGCAACACAGCAAGGCTGTTATTATCACCAGCCCAGGCTGACTGATCACTAAGCTGAGAAGTGGTTTGTTCTGCCACCCATTCCTTAATCCATGTGCATGAGAAAAACTGCACTGCAAGGACTCCGTGTTCTTTGTCTCCAGATGATACAGTCATGCCAGCAGAAATATTTTTGGTGAGTCTGTGCTAGATGAGCGAGTTAGGCATTACTCTCAGCTCATCCCAAACTCGTGAGTACAATAAGCCAACTTGTCACCAAATTATGGAAAGCAGACCCTCAGGTAACACAGGCTGAGCACAAACGTCACAGCAGTGCCCTGCCTGACGTTAACAGCTGGGTTGCCGTGGCCAGTCCATCCCACCCGTGCAAAAATTGGGAATAAAAAAAGAAAACCAACACAAACCCCACCCAATACCCACACAAGCACAGTCCTAGCCAGCCTGCTTTAAGAAGCAAGCTCAGCTCGCAGCACAGAATTAGGGAAAACACACCAGTTTAGTAATCCTTCTTCCTATTTCACGCAGGAAAATGCTTTCTAATATCCAAAGCATGACTTATGTCCAGGAATAGCAGATTTTCTGCCCTAGCACCAACACAGCCACGTGTGAGATCTTCAGTTGACACTTACTCAATCTGGGGCAGCTGGCACAGCACAGGGAGGAAAACACACCCAGGTTCTCCCATTGCCCAAAGATCTTAGTTACATGTAAGAACTTAGTTCTGAGTAGTGCTGGAAGAAGCTGTCTAGGACACAGTGCTCCCAGATCTGAAAAGCTCAAGAGTTACCTTGCTACCATTGAATCCCCTCAGCTAATCAAGATCACAGAATCAATGCCCTGAGTCAGAAAGGAAACCAGAGCAAGTCCCACACACCAGACCACACGTGCTAACCTTCCAGTGTCAATGTGTGTGAAGAGTTGAGCTGATCCTCAGAGTTTTGGAGATCAGTTTTCCGAGAAACCTCATTTCCATACTGGCAGAAACCATCATTTGTATCCTTGTTGTTACTAATTTCCACCTTAAGGAACAAAAGCTCATTTGGCTGCCTTCAGAGTAAAGAGACTTCTGGTATCCAGATGTCCCTCTGGACTGCTGAACCCCCCTCGCCTGCTGCAGACTGGGGTCCCCAACTCCAGCCCCTCTGCAAGCCAGCTGAGGAGTCAGGGATTGCTCAATAACTACTAATGCACCCCACAGATGGCAGAACAGAGTTTTTACTGTATGCCAAACATCTCCTGTGCCTAGGAAAAACCTGCACCACAACTCCATACAGCCACTAAACAGACAGCACTCTCAGAAATGCAATACAAGATGATTTATCCTCTTTTTGAGCAGGGATTCTTGCATTAGGCTTCTAAATGCACCTCTCATTAATACATGAGCACATAATAATGGGAATATGCATATTTCATTTTGTGAGCCATTCTCATGTTCTGACACTGCTCTCAGGACTCCAGCAAGGGGATCTATAAAAGTCCAGTCACTGCACTTTTATCCATTAAACATTTGTCAGTATCATTTACTCCTAGGAAGCTTCTTATTTTGTCATTATTTATGAACCAATATCACAAAGATCTATGACATGAGAAGTAGCACAGCAATTTTCCTGGATTTGAAGGATAAACTATGGGTGCCAGGGTGAAAGCTGCTTGTCAGTGCTCAATATCAGCACTGCAAATGTCTGTCTGAAGCAAATCTGGCATTACATCAAAAATCTTGTGTTGTATGGGGCCTGGTTAACATTAGTTTTTAACCAGGAAAATGCAAATGAAAGCATCACTGCGTGTAATCACTTGCTTACAGCCACTGTGGTTTTGGTAACCATTTCCTTGTGTACATGAGTAAAAGTCAGAGTCACTGTTGACAGGCAGAGCAGAGAGAGGGAGGACACAAAATGCAATGACAGACAAAGCTACAGGGCAACATTAAGTTCCACAGGAAGTATTATTTTCCTTCAGCTCTATGATGTTGTAATACAGGAATAAACCTCTTCAGTTTTAGAAGGCCTACAAGGAAAGGCTCAATTAACTGCAAATATATTTTCGAGGGTAAATACACATGCAGCTATGAATGAAGCAACCAATCTTGCCTTGGGAGAGCAAGGTGAGTAATCACCAGTCTTTTCTACAAAGTAAGGAAAAGTGGGCAGTAGCCAGCCTTCCACAGACCTGCACTTTTAGCTTTGCAGGTAATTTACTCTCATACAACTCCCCAGCAGGCCAAACACTCAGACACATTACACACACAACCCATGTGGGTGGACCCCATCAGACTGTCTGGTGACCGATCACCTCATACCAGAGGAGACTCCACACCCTGGAGTGGGCACTATAAAACACCCACTGCTCCCTAAATCATCTCATTTTGTCTGAGAAATCAAATTACTCAGGTCATACAAGGACTCTCTGACAAAGCTGGTAACTAAACATACAGCTGGGCATGTCTTGAGCCCTGGACCATTCTCAAGTTCTTGTTTTTTGGCATCTAGCACAGTTTCTTGTGAAAAATCTCACCAGACTACACTGCTATACATAGGATTTAACTAAAGCCCATCACAAAAGGAGAAAAACGCATTGCTATAATTGTAACAGCGATAAAATTGCTCCTTTTGCAGAAAATGTCTTTGAGCTGCTTCCTACCCAGCAGTCATTTGAAGCAGGGAGAGGAACACAGCAGAAGTTTTGAAAGATCTGCAATGAGCACACCCAGCAGCATAAAGGCTTCATACAAATGCAAACTACAGAAGAAGTGCAGGAGCAGCCGCTCACTCCCTCAAGCCAAAAAGGTATTATGCAAATTTAGAAGGTACAGAGAAGGATAAAAAACCCCATGAGATCTAATGCCCCAAGTGGCCTGTGCCCAGAGGAAGCTTTCCCAGCTACTCTGCAGCACACATCGGGCCAAAGGCAGCCACTGCTTCGCCAGCCCAGCTCTGAAGGGCTGCTCAGGAGCAATGCACGGCTACATATCCAAACGATATTTTCCAAACGAATCCTGCTCCCAGCAGCTTTCTCTCCCTCCCAGAGCAACCTGACACCCCCACACTTCCACCTCTCACCAAAATAAACCCCCGGGGCCCCAGCAGCACCTGGCCAGAGCCCCCTGCTCGGGCAGGGAGGGACTGACACAGCCCCCAGACTACAGCCCCCAGAAGGCACCGCAGGCAGGCACCGCTGCTCCGGCCGGCCGGGATTCGTGTCTGGGGTGACGTGGGAGCCACCGGAGCCAATCCACGGGAAAAGGAGGAATGTCAACAAACACGGCGGCCTGCGGGACACGTGATATCAGCGGCAGGGCAGCGGGCTCCCGATAAAGCCACCCCAGGGCCAGCCGGGGGTCCCTGGTCACACAGATGTCACTCCACATCAGCCCCCACCGAGGCACCAGACCCTCGCCCACAATCACATGGGTTCCATCTTAGGCTTCCCATCCTGCAGCGTTATTTTAAAAAGCATCACAAATATCTAAGAAAAATCCTGCTGGGTCACTGGGCAAATTAACTAAATATTCAAGGGAAAAAAATAAAAAGTCATTGGATAACTCGGGTTTCAGAGCGGATTGGTTTTAGCCCCTCAGATTAGATCTTCAGGGCTGACTTTGAAGGAAAAGGCAACTGTGGGAAACCACAATAATCTAAAAATGCCTGCTGCAATTTTTAACACTTAGTGACTGCCACAAGGACAACAGAAAAATGCCAATTAAAATCCTCTGGAACTGGAGACAATCATATGCCACAAAGTCATGCTCGCACTATTTTAACACGGCCCAGGAAAAAGAAATTTTCTCAGGGAGTTTATCCAGACCAGAGAAAGAAAACCAAAGGTGGGCATGCCAAAAATAAACTACTGTAATTTTATTTCTAGGATTTTGAGAACTTAAGAGCTTCCTCCACAGACATATTCACCACACACTGCATTACATCCTGGGAACAGAAGCTCCCACTTCAACTGCCAACTGCACACAAGTTCTATGGTCCAGCCAATAACTAACACGTGATCTGCTCAACAGTGTTTGTTTATCTTTCCCTAACTTATCAGAAGACTTTTCCCCCCAGAATACACGTCTGAATACAAAACATTTGTTAAAAACTTAAGTTTCACAAACTCCATTCAACCTTTCCCAAATCCAAAATGTTTTGCCATAATTGAATGTATTTACCTGGAAGTCATACAAGGCAACAATGTTTTCATGCTTCAATTCCTAGAAAGAAGGGAAAAAAAAGACTATAAGATAAGAGCAACAAAGGGCATATAGAACAAAGACTGAAGGAAACAAGTCAGTTTGCTTTTACCTTAAGGATTTTTATTTCCTTGCCCAGCAGAGTTTGTGATTTTGCAAGGTTCTTCTTGTTAATGCATTTCACAGCTACTTCCAGCTCAGGTTTCTGAAATAGTGCATATGTAATGCAAAGGTAAATGTAAATTTCACCATTAATTTACATTAGGATAAGCAGCCTCTTAACAGATTACAAATACTATTGAACAAACTGTTGTGCAGCACCGGTAAAGGCCTCTCAGTTCACATCCTAATGCCTACCTCTCGCTTGTTCAGACTTGCCCTTTCCAAATTATGCTTGTCAGCCCAAGGAGAAAAGCCCAAGGTTTGGGTTTTTGTTACTACTTTATATGGCGATTATCCTCTTATTTAATCACTAGAAATAAACGCACTGTGGGAGCCACAGCTTATCCCAAGCCCTAATGATGGAAAATCCACTGCCGGATTGGTTTCCTTTTATTTACCAGTATGAGATTTCTCCTCCTCCTGGAAAAATTAAGTGGAGAAAGAAAAAGACTTCACAGGCACAAAATAAAAACCCTAAAAAACCCAACCCAAACTAAAGGAAGGGCTCTCTACACACTTCACAGACAGCGTGGAGGGATTCAGAGTTCACAGACAGGGGAGGGCAGGTTTTGGGGGAGTCTGTGGACACCCCCCAGGCAGCTGCCGGCCTCCCAGCCCCAAGGTGAAGCCACCTGCCGGGACTATACGCCTGGCTCCCAAAGAAAACTCCAAAGAGAACAACCATAAATAACAACAAACAACACGTCTGCCATCCCCAGGGCTGCCCCGAGCCCGGGGTGATGCCCGGGCTGGAAACAGCGACCGCAGCCGGCGGGGACGGGGTGACCGGGACGCGCTGCCCAGCTCGGCCCAGACCAGGAAATAAATAAATAAATAAATAAATAACCGAACAAAAAAGCAAGAGGGGGGAAAAAAAAAAAAAGGCAGCCGGTGTTCTCACCTCTTTGTGCCTGCCTTTGAAGACGACGGCGAAGGCTCCGTGCCCGATCAGGTCCTTCCTGCTGAACTCAAACTTTCCCACCGCCTCCATGGCGCTGCGCCGGGGGGTCCCGGGGGCCGGCGGGGAGGCTGCGGCCGGGGCGGCTTCAGAGCTGCAAAGGGACGAGGAGGAGGAGGAGGAGGAGGGGGATGGCGGTGATGAAGGAGCTGCCTTTAAAGAAAATTAAACCTCTCCCAATCCAAACGCGACGGGGCAACCACCACCACCATCACCACCGTCCCCCCTCCCCGTTCCCCCAAGGAGCGGCCGGCAGCCGGAGCAGCCCCGCTCCCGCCGGCTCCGCGCCGGGCTGCGCTCCCCACCTCGCCCTCGTCCATGGGCTGCCTTTTCCTGCCGAGCGGCCGGGAGCCGGGCATTGTCAGCGGCCGGGGCGAAGCTGGCTCCTCAGCGGCGGGCCTCCCCCATCTCCTCCTCCTCCTCCTCCTCGGGCCGGGCCGGCGCGGCTCCTCGGGCCCCGCTTCAGGCGGGGCTCCCCATGCCGAGCCCCGGCCCCCCCGCCGGCAGGCGCGGCTTCGCCGAGAGTCCACCTTAAGCGCGATCCACCTTAACGCCCGGTCCGCCTCGCGGCAGCGCTCCACCTTAAGCGCGATCCACCTTAAGGGCGGCGGGCGGCCCGCGCCCCCGGCTGTCGGTGCTGGGGTCGGGGTTGGGGTCGGTGCTGGGGGTCGGTGTCGCCCCGCGGGTCCCGCGGCTCGCTCGGGCCGGGCCCGCACAAAGCTGAGCGGACGGAGCGGGTCGTGCCGGGCGGCGCAGGCGCGGTGCGCGGCGGGGGAGGCGGTGGCGGCGGCGGCACCTGAGGCGGAGCGGCCGGGCCCGGCACATTTAAAGGCGCCGCCTGCCGCCCGCCTGAGTCAGCGCCGCGGCCCCGCGGGCCCCCTGAGCCCCGGCCGGGCGTGGGGCGGGAGGGCTCCTGCCGACCGCTCGGCCTTTGGGGGGTCACGGAATCACTTCCGAGTTGGAAGGGACCCACGGGCATCGTCAAAGTCAAACTCCTGGCCCTGCACAGGACATCCCCCACCATGTACCTGACAGCGTTGTCCAAAGGCTTCTCAAGCTCTGTCAGGCTTGGTGCTGTTACCACTGCCCTGGGGAGCATGTTCAGTGCCGGACCACCCTCTGGGGGAAGAACCTGTTCCTTAGAGGCAACCTAAACCTACCCTGACACAACTTGAGGCTGTCCCCTCCTGTCCTGTCAGTGGTCACCAGAGAGAAGAGATCAGTACCTGCCCCTCCACTTCCCTTCATGGGGAAGTTGTAGACCTCGATAAGGTCTCCCCTCCCTCTCCTCTTCTCCAGGCTGAACAGACCAAGTGATGTTTCCAACAACTAAAGAAACGTGTCTGTTCAGGTGAACTGTTAAAAGTTCACCCCAGGAGCCATTGAGGGGTTCAGATGGACCGCAGTCCCACCACCCCCTCTTCTCCCCCAGCATCGCCCACCTCCTCCTCCACAGGCTCTGGCCCCTCTCCACACGCTCCTGTGCTGGGGGACCATGGCTCCTCCGTGGGGAGCAAACCAGACTTCCAGAGTGCCCGAGGGTGCCTCCATGGAGCTTTCCTCTGAGGAACCCTTCTCGTTGAGCTGCAGAGCTCAGCATGGAACCACTGCTGCGATAAGAAACCTTTCCTGGCCAGAGCCTGGTGTGCGTTTTGGCCGTCCCCAGTCTCTTGCTGTGCAGTGACCCACAAGCTCTGCCCTCTGGGTGTGGGCTCACAGGAACCTCTCACGCATTTGCCTCATCCCCTGCTCCAGAGTGCCCAAACCCACCAGCCCTGGTGGTATCCAGAGCACTTGCGCACTCACTCCAGTCTGTACACTTATCACGACATCCGAAGCAGAACATCACATTCCAGCTGCAGAGGGAACAACGTGCCTCGCAGGCAGCACCCTGCTCGCACACTCAGCCTGGGGTTTGTTTTTTACACAACTGCTCGGTATCGATCTGTGTATTGACCTGTGTCAGCACAGCAACACCAAACACACCCTGCCCGTACGATGCCAGCGGCTCCGCAGTCGCCCAGCACAGAGGGTGCTCGGTGTCGTGACGCCGAGTGCCTCCAGTTATCACCGTTCACGGCAAAAATTAGGAACAAGCAGCACTTCACAGTGTCAGGCTACGTTATCTACACAAAAGCCGTGGCTGACTGATAAGATGTCTGGCCTCTGATCTATTGCCCTTGGTTCCTGCGTAACTCGTGTTCAGGTGCCTTCCTCTGCTTAAAATTTTGGCAGAAAGATGACAGCGTATATCAAAGGCCATTGTAAAAGTAGCAGTGCCCGACTGGTCTTAATTGGTGTCTCAAATCCCAGCGGTTATTTAGTGCTTTGTGGGAACTGTAAAGGTCATGAGGATATTCTTCAATCTGATGATTCTATCTGTTGAAGTAGCCTTCAAACTGAAACAAGACTAGAGCACCTTTGTGATTTCAGCAGAAATGAATTTAAAAATTGCTTTTTAAAAAGATACAATATACTTAGCTACTTGTTTTCTTTCACTCCTCTAGGCCTGTATCCTCCACATCTACAATTTCAGGCCATTGCCAATGATCACAAGGGGATAATTAAAAAGCTAACACAGACACAGGTAAAAATGTCGAACATCATCAAACTTCCAAAAAATATCAAGCTACTTGGCAAATGCCAGACACAGGATTTAATTCTACCAGTTGTTAAAAGCCACTGTCTCTAACGCAGGAGGTAATAGTTGCAAAAGTTTAAGGCAGGAAGTGAAGAAAATGTTTTGAAACTTCTCAGATGATTTCTAGGCAGGCAAAATCTTGTATCTGCTTTGGCTGGAAAGCAGCCAGAGCACCCTGGTTAGCAAGTGCACTCTTGCAAGAACTGTGGTAAAATCTGCAGTGCCCACACGTGCTTCTGCCTTTCCTTCCCCAGCACAGCAAAGACACCCAGTCCCAGAGCTGGGCCAAGGAGGAAGTCGATGTGACTGCTGTTCAATTAGAGGCCAAAATATCCCGCTGGTGAATGGCCTTTGTTCTGTACTGCCCGTGCTTATTTTGTTCCTTCACGTGCTGTTGGTTGTGAAAAAAAAAGCTCAATGTAACTTAGATTTGATTAAACCTGGGTCCTAAGGTAGCTTTCTGCACACGGCTGTCCACAGAGCCAGGTGGCAAAGTCAACCAACCTCCTCTCTGCTGACATTTTATTTTGATTTTAGGCAAACTGGGTTCGTTTGAAGCAGGCTCACTAGTGAATAAATGGAACTCCAAGGTAGCAGAAGAACTGTGAAGGAACTTGGAGGTCTGTACAAGGATCAGGACCAAGTTGTACTGGATGCCACGGGCACACGAGGCACAACTACTAGTTTAACATTTGTAGCATTTAAATGTCTCTCAAATGTGTCTTCAAAAAATAGAGTAGTGAAAATATTTCAAACTTCCACAGAGATTTAAAAACTTCCCCCAGGATCACTAATAAAATGTAATACCACTTGACAGCAAATATGGGTTTGAGATGTTTGGAGTGCACTCTGCAGACACATTTGTTCATGTTGGAACAAAGAGGGATGAAAAGCTTTTTAATTAAAAGTAGGATTCCTCAAATATTTTTTTTCTGTGGTTTGCTGATTAAATGCTTATGCTGTATCAATTCTTCCCTGATGTCCAGAATTCAGTTTGAGTATGTTTAGGCCAACATCCAACACATGCAAATTCTTTTCTCCTCCCACAGTCTCCCATTTGCTAATGATGAAAGTGCTACCGCCAGCACATATTCAACTGCTTCCTCAGATGGAGGCATTAATCTTTGAGGGGACAGAGTAGAGAGTTCAATTTACTAATGCAAAATATGAGTGGGGAAAGATCTACTGCTGAGATTTATGATGGGTGGAGAAAAATATAAGCATACACCCACTGTGGGAAACCTCTGAATATTGTCTTGAAATTATCTTTTTAATTTAATGCAACTTTATTCTTTTTTCTAATTCAAATGTGTAGGAAAACAACGGCCAACTGATATCCCGATGACTTAAGTGATACTTTTTTCCAATACCATGTTTTAATCAGGAGTCATAAATATTGCTGTTTCTGTCTCCTGTAAGCTCAGAGTGCCATCCTTACCTCTGGGCTGCAGAGGCACAGTGTAATTATCTCTGAGCTGGGGAATTGGTTAAAGCTACAGAAGTATGAGGGAATTATGCAAGACCAAGCAAACTCAGAGTATAGATTTATAATAAAGACAGAATAAAGATTTCCATCTGGGGCTAAACTGTTCTCGTTACAGTTCAACCTATGGAATAAATTATGCATGTACCGAACCAGTAGCTCAGGGTGTGTCTGAAGCTCATGTAGGTACAACTTTTAAACAAGCTCTTTTAGGAGGAACCTGGAGCAGCACAGACTTCATTTTGGACTGCAAAAGTTTAACTTGGAAGGCAGATGGATGCTGTGGAGAGCTGGTGCATGCTCAGCTGCCTGCTGCTGTGTGTACTTAGCTGTAGGCACCAGAGCTTCTGTGCACACTTGTGTGAGACTTCAGTCCCTACACCCAAAGAGCAAGATGTGCCCTTTGCCTGTGCCTTCTATGACCAGTGACATTTCACATGTGCTCCTGTATAGCTGAGACCTGAGCTGTCATATCCCAGAGAACCTGTGTCAGATGCGTGACACATTTCTTGGTGCTTTTCTAGACAGTTCCAGCTTCTTAATACAAGCATCCACTGTGGGCCAGACAGTCACCTTTCCCAAGATCGTGATGTCTTTGCTTTTCTAGTTCAGCAACTCCATCCTGGTGTTCCCCACACTGCCTGATGAGAGATCAGAAGCCACCCATGAAGCTGAGCCACTGCATCTGGAAGGCGTGGGGGAATCCTTGGCCAGATGCAATCACAAAGAACAAGTTCTTTCCCTTGCTGTATATCTCTGTTTTGAAATCAAAGTTCTGCTTGATGCAGAGGGAGTTTCCAAGGCCCTCCTGTGTAATCTGTGTATTACAGCAATTGCCTCACGGACACAGATACTGAAGACCAGGACAAAAAAAATGAGCATTTCTGGAGGAAGGGAAATGCCGGACTATGAGGCTTAAGCACATGAGCAAGATGGGATTGAACATGTTACCACACATGGGTTGAGCCTTATAATTGATCCCATGTCTCCTCTTTGTGTGAAATGAGTGCAAAGCCTGAAGATGAGCTTTAATATAGGCTGTAGCTCAGTCCTGTGTAGTGCTGTTGCTGGGTAATTAATTTTCTTCACAGAAGCAGATGCCAAAAAAAGATGGACAGAGTAGTACAGGAGGAAAGATCAGAGTATGAGTTCCAGAGTACATCTGGATGAAAAGCAGACACTGTATTTGTGTGGATTCAAAATCTGATGCAAATTCAGACATGTTAAGGCAGTTACACATCCGCTTTCCACAAACCTCCTAATAGCTGAGGGTAATTGCCAGTATCTGGGCAGAGCCAACACTAACCTGAAAGCTGGAAGTTTTGCCAGATTCATCAGGAAGGAGTGAAGGTACTGAATATGCAGTGCTTGGCTGAAAATCAGTTTGGTGGAAGAAATATGTGGAAGGTCTGCAAATATCTAAGTCATAAAAGTAAATATTAGCCCAGCATTAATGAATAGAAGGGAAGCTGCAGGCTGAATCTAATGGAAAATTAAAATTACATTGTTTAATCACATCCATTTCTGATGTCTGCTATTAGGTTGGGTTCTGGCTCAGTACAGTAAGGGTAAGACACAGA